AGAAGTACGCGGATGATGGATTGCCCGAAAAAGCCATCCGTTTTTTTGGTGCTTGCAGTTTGTAAAATTGTTAGTGGCGCAGAAGATCCCAACATTCCCTATGCCTCAAAGGGTGTGCAAGTGGGATTGATGCTTGGCTGAACCTGCCACTAGTAGTGATTGCTTGTCTCCAAGATTGAGCCGCCACCTAGCAACGTTTGAGCCTCAAAAAGATCTTTCCATTGGAGGCCATTACTAGTAGGTTTGAGGCCATCGCCGTTACGTTGCAGGCCATCTCTTCTAGGTTGGAGGCCATTACAATTAGGTTGGAGGCCATTGCTATTAGATTCACTCAGCAACCCTATTCTTTGGCTCCAAGACGACTTTCATTCCAAAACAAGCAGCTGCTTGCCGCTGTCGGTCTCGCTCAAGGATTTCCACACGTAAACCGCACTTCAGCTTCCAAAAAGAGCCTTCCGCCTTCAATTCTGTCCTTTCAGGGAATCCACACCTAAACCTTGAAAAGTGCTTTCCGTGGAGCATTCTTTGGTTTGGCTTCCACACAATTCCACACGTCAAAAGGACATCTCCCACGTCAATTCTTTCCTTTGGTTTCCGTGTTTCCGTGCTTGAAAAGAGCTTTCCGTGGAGCATTCTTTGATTTCACGGCTTCCACACGAAAACCTGACAAGGAGATCTCCGCTGTCAACTGTCTCCTCTGAAGGTTTTCACATCAAAGCCCTTCTCGAGAGCTTTGTCTCTTGGTCTTGTGGAGTCTTGCACACAGCAAAGCTTCCTGCTCGTGGTTGAAATGCAATATACCGGTATATCGACGTGGTTGAACTGCAATAGACCGGATTGATTGGAACAGATGGTCCCCAACAGACTGCCCAATCCTTTGATGGTGATTCAGCCGTGTCAGAGCCTTGGAAGAGCCGAATTGGTTTATTTCGTTCCTATCTTTCCACTGGGGGCCACAGGCCAAATCGGACGGCTGGTTCGGTTTTTATGTGAGATGCCCATGGCTGGAATGCCTAATTAAAGCTGAGTGTAAGACGAAGACTTGACAAAAACAGGCAGGAGCCCTTATTGAACCCAAGAGTTGTCTGAGACAGTTTGACTTCCATCCGGTCAATAAGGATGAAGCTCATGAGGCAGCCGCAAAAGATGCACCTCAAGTGTCAACCCGGTCCTGCTTGAAGTTCTGAAGCTCTTATACCTATGACTTGACTGAGCGTCGGACGAGTTCTGAATGTCTGACGCTTCAGGACGAGCTGCGGCTTGTATTTGACCTTCCAAGGTTCGAGTCGAGGCCCAGCTCTGTTTTTTCACCAGCGACACATGAGCAGCTTCAAGAACCTCTATGATGAAAAGTGTGCAAACTGTAATCTCACATTCTTTCGCGAAAGCCAAAACGCAGGTCGCGAAAGGTTCGCGAAAGAACCCCAGAAGAACAGCGTCGCGAAAGCTTTCGCGAAAGTCGAATTTCTTGTGCATGTCGTGTTGTTTATGTGGGTGACTATATTTTTATGCAGGCAGCCGCAGCAGGCCAGCCAGCCAGCCAGCCAGCCGCAGCAGACCAGCCAGCAGCAGCAGCAGCGCTGAAGAGCAAGTGTTTCAGGGGAAAATCGAAAAGCCCAGATGAATTTCCGCGAAACCCGCGCGAAAGCCTCGCGAAAGAACCGCGAAAGTCGAACATATCCGGGAAAGGTATCTGGCCCCAGCAAAAAGTTTCAGCAAGTTTTCCTCCTCTTCTGATGACAACAATAATACTTGAACGGTGCTGCTACAACTCCTTGTGCCAGGATGTTGCCGGAAAGAAATTTGTTCAGTTTTGAACACCCTAAGGACACTTATATCGGATAACTTATATAGATCAATCACTTTATTGTACAATATCCCAATCGAATTTCCCAATCGAAAACGAATCGCCGCGAAAGCCGCCGCGAAAGCCCTACATAACACCACACCTTCCGCGAAAGCCAGAATGCAGGCCGCGAAAGCTCCGCGAAAGCTTTGCGAAAGCAAACCTGGATTATACAAAAAAGTAATAGGGGTTTTCGAAGCTGCTCACATGGTTTAAAGAGCTGGCCACCCTTCACCCGTGTTTGCGTATGTTGGACAAAAACGACACCAAGAACCTCCATTCACTCCTGGTCTTGTTGGCCAGAGTAGTGGTGCAATCATGTGGTACAAAAGAGTAACCTTCGCTCCTTCCCCTCACCTTCGCAGGCTCATGGCGGTTTCAGCGTGTGAAGCGAGGACGAAGCGCAGACGAGCATGTCAAGCCCGTGACTTCTCCCTGGTCTGTGCTCAGACCCTAAAGTGCGGACTGTGGAAGGTTAGATGAAGTCAAGCACTTCAATTACACCCCACTGTCCCTTCGAACAAGCGTCAACGAGGCGAGCCCTTTTGGCCAGCCCTGTGAACTGCATTCAGATAGGCCCTGGAGCTCGGATCTCTTGCAGGCTGACGGTGCACACGCACTATGCCCAATGCCTTCTTGTCAAGCCCCATGCTTGAGCACACTTCAAACTGGTTTCGGCCCTTCTCAAAGAATCGATCGGGTGTGCGTGGACAAGTAGCAGACTGCCCTCTACACCGCTTCATCCATTCTACCGGTTCTATCAGCGCCGCCGAAGCTCGTGGAGGTTGGGCCGAAGCACTTTCGAGTGGGGAACAGAATTCTTGTTTCTATAGTAGCAAACATTGTTCCTAGCAGTACGGCCAGGAGCCCCGAGTAATTAGCGTCCGATCGCTCCGTTCGTAGCGATGCCCGAAATGCTCCGTTCGTAGCGATGCCCGAAATGCTCCGTTCGTAGCGATGCCCTTTGCTCCTACCTTTGCCGCCGTAGAAGCCTGTTGGCTTCGTGGAAGTTCGGTGGAGCAGTTGGTTCGAAGTCAGTGCTCATACGCAGTCGGACTACCCCATCGGTTTTGCCATCTTTAGAACTGGCGATTACCGCTTGTGCTTTGTTGTGACCAGAACACATTTCTCGATTCCGTATTCCGAAGCATTGCTTGAGCGTGTTTGAGCTAAGTGCACGACAACCGCGCAGGTCATATTGCTTGTCAGCTTGTCTTTGGCCTTTTGGCCACCCGCCATTTGCCAAATCTACTTTCAGACTGTGGATCAGGTGTAGAAACGTCAAAGCGGCGGTTTTGCCGCCCTCGTTGAAGAACAACATCCTGTTGGACTTGGGATTTGCGCAGCCGTGAATTGGGAGTTCCGTAAGTTCGCCTGAGTCCAGGTGAGTCCTGGTTCTTCTGTGAAGGAAAGAGCCCAGAATTGCAGAAGGAGCCTAAGGCAGCGCAAGATTCATACCATTTCATACCTACAGGCCAAACACATCCCTGGCATGTTCATTCGGGTCTGTTTCAGCCAGTTCAGGCGAAGAGCCCGGTTGAATGATGTATTGAGTTGGAAGGCCCTGATAGCACAATGTCATCAGAACAGCCTTACAAGAAGGTTTTGACCGAGCTCAGCTGTTCTTTGTTTGCCTGCAACACCGGGCGTGTGTTGCTGTGAGAAGGATTCTTGAGAATATGTCTCCTCTGCAATTCCGTTCAACATGAACCCTCTCATGTTCCTTGATGCGAAACTCTGTGAATTTTGTGCCAGTCCTGCCTTCAAAGATTACATGCTGGAAATGCAGAGCAGCAAGCTGCATTCAGCAAGACCTTGCACCTTTCAGCGCCTGCCTCTCTCGCGGCGAATGGGGAGCCATGGGCTGCCTCTCTCGCCAAGTAGACCCGCGCGCGACCCGCTCAAGCTGACCTGCTCAAGCTGACCAACTCCGTCTGCAGCTCGTGGAACCTGGCCCTGAAACTGTAGACGGCCCGACGTGCCCGACGTGGAAAGCGCCGGTCACGGAAAGGGGCAGGATCTCCGGTTCGGCCCGGTGACGCCCACGGCTTCGAAGGTGATGAAACAGTGAACAGGTCCAATCACGGAAGTGAACATCTAAGCTGCTTAGCTGTGCTTGGCTTTCTTTCATAAAGCAACAACATGAACTTCACGGGGTCACTCATGATTGAGTGCGTTGACGTGTTTGTCCGTGAATTGGACAGACACCAGTCCCACTTGAGATACTTGAGCACGATCTTTGATTTTGTCCTCGAAGCTACCTCACTGTGCTTCCATTTCACCATCCCTCAATTGGCTTGGTTGAAGTCGTGTTTCAAGTCTCAAGGCCTTTTATGACCGGCATGGCACGGTGGAAAACATGAACCTCCGCAGTGAAGGGTCAGATTTGGTTGGAGACAAACTGAAGTTTGGATGCGGACTGGGCGATTTTGCTGGATGAATAGAATCCGTTTGGCAAAGATAGGGCGGATTGGTCAGATATGGATGAACTGCATTTTTGTCCTCTCCGACATAACCGAAGTGGAAAATGAGCCCCTGGAAGACCCATTGTTCTCTAGAAACAAGCGGTTTTCCACTTCCATGTGAATGGCTCGAATGGCTCGGAGAACATACTTCATTAATTGGTATGATTTGCTCAGCACCCACACAGGTCAACTGCTGAAGCCTGCCTTTCGTGCCAGGTGCCTTGTTTCATATGCCGTACTTCAAGGGAGATCTCGAGGTGGGAGCAGGGCCTCCAGTAGGTTGAGCAAGCCAAAAATCAAAAGACAAATCAGATCAGATCTTTTTTGGAACGAATTCACGGGGTTTGCAGGATGGGCATGTCGTCAAATGTCCCTCTTGACCATGTGGTGCCGGGTTATGGAATGTGAACGAAAAAACATGTCACCTAATTGCATGATCTTTCGGGTTGCTTGGAGTTCATAGCATGCTAGAATCCACAACCTACCTGCACATGTCAACACATATCACGTTGCTTCCACCTGACCAGAAAACCCAGTTCAAAGTTGAGGCTACAAATTGGTATTGAACAAATAAACACATAAAAAGAAGAGATGATGTTTGGGTCCAAAAAAGAACAAGGCCCCCCTCTAATGAGGTCGCCTCCTTAAAGAAGCCCGACTCTACGCCTGTTTGGTGGAGTCGAAACCTCTTCTGTTCAACGCGACCAACGCGGCTGCAGGTTCTCCAGAAGTTCTGCCGGGCCCAAAGGCGTGAGCTATGAAAAGAGGTGTGTTGAAGCGTCAAGCTGCTTCTCGCGAAGAAAATGACACTTCCTGCATCTTCCTGCGGCAGAAAAAACTCACCTGCCCCATGTTCATCCATTTTGCTCCAGAATGATCTTGCATATTCTGTATAACAAGACAATTAACTTGTTGCCTCAAGAAATTAGGCTCTTCCTAGGAAGACTTGCGCACTGAGAATTGTTCAAGCGCGAGAACGGCATAGGTTGACTCTGGCCAGCCCACATATTCACGGCACACGACTCCAAGACTTTCAAGCGCATGGCATCTCGGCACACGATGTCATGGGTCCTGTGATGTCGGTCGCGGGGAAGGGGGAAGAGCAGAGTCGGCGGAGTTTTTGTGACCCTTGGCCATTCTTTGGACGGTTTGGAAGAAGCATTTGGATAGAAACAGATTGCTAAGCTGAAGATGCAGACTGCGATGCTGCAAGAGGTCAAGAGATCTGCAAGAGGCGGACCAAAGCCTCCAACGCCTCGAAAGCCTCCCGGTGCCCGGTCTCAGGTCGAGCCCAAAGACCACTGTTTTGATGGGATCTCCTGGGGTAACCCCTTTTTTGAGCGGCCCCTTCTGGGACCGCATGTGACGGGTGACACCTGTGAGGAAGGGTGAGGAAGGGCCTCGACAGAAGTGTACGTCAAGGTCGAAGCCTTTGGGATGATTCTTAATGCTTTGAAAGGACTCAAAGAATCTATCTATCCCAAAGACTCCATGCATGGCATATTTACCAACATTGGGTGTGGTTTTAGGGGTATGAATTTCCAGTCCCACGGAGTCTCTGGGTCTGATGTATAATAACGGGTGTCAAGACGAGGTAGGGGAACCGGAGGTTGGGGGCCCGGGCAACGCCTGGAAAACATGTCCATCTTAAATTCATGTGTGCTCCACATTCTATAGGGATCCGTTTTCGCAGCTTCTCAGGTTCAGTAGGACTGGACCCGACCAATTGCGGCACCAGCAAATAACAGATCAGAACAGTGTCTCCAATGATACGAATATTGTACCATCACCCTCCTGGCCAGGCTGTTAGTTGAGGGTTGTTGGACCCTAACAGGTCGAACCATTGGTGACCTGTCGGAGGGTCCTATAGGAATCCCTCTTTGGATCGCTTTTGGACGACGGTCCTGGATGGTTTCGCTCGGACCCGAAGGTCACTGGTCTACCCACGAGGTCATCCGAACGGTCACTGGTCGAACCAACAGGTCGCAGGGACGGCAGGGACGACAGGGACGACAGCAGTGATCACTGTTGACGTGGCCCATTTTGGCCACGTCCCAGCTTTGATCGTGGGCGGTTGGCGGACGAAAGGCCAGGAACCTTGGCGGGTCCTTGAGAGCTTCGTAGGGGCCCCGCATGCGTGAGTGAGTGCCTGAATCACTCAGAACAGCAGCGCCGCCTTTTTCATCTCAAGCTGCATGGGTTTACACATGTTTACACAGACTCAGTCCCAGAAACAGTCTTAATTCTGGAACTTCCCGCACCCCCCAAAACTCCAATATGCCCAGTGGATTCAGGGGTTCCACCAGGAGTTTCTCCTGGAGGGTCACCCGCCACGAGCGCCCAAAATAGGGGCCCAGACCGTGACTGAAGCTACGCAACCTGAGTGACTTCACCAAGTACTACTCCTCGACTCGACACATATTTAAACCCTATGGATCCACGTACCTTCTGAGAAGGTGATTGGAGACTATTTATGTAGGCTTGGAGGGTCCAATTGCCTTCTGAGAAGGTATGTGGATCCATAGGGAAATAGATTTAATCCATTGACCCTTGAATGACTTCACGAGCTCGTGGGTCTTCCTGGATCCACTGCTCTACAAGTCCAGTTGGACCCAGGCCCAATCGTGGTCTTTGACCGCCTTAAGTAACTTCGCAAACAATTCTGGTGACGACAGGATGGGTTTTGTATGACAATCTCCAGTATTTGATGAGGTCAAACAGGAGGTTGGAGGTGATCGCAAGTAGGTTGGAGGCCATCTGATGCCATCGAACCTCTGAAACCACTTGTGCCATCGAATGCTTCAGGATTACACCGGTTGAAAAGGTTCTGTTCCACCACTTGTCGCACCGGACCTGCCGTGCGTTCTACGTGGTCCAAGGTGTCGCCTTGCTTTTGCGTGAGGAACACTTGACACCCTACGTCCGCACCCTGTCCGGTGGAGGTGAATGGGAGAAGAGACAGGACCGCAGGATGGGCACCATGCGTACTTGGGTGATGACCCTCATGACTCATGACTCAGAAAGCTTGGTTCGGAACCTTGGTGGATTTTCAGTGCAACCACGGAGAAACACTGAGAAACATATCAATTGTACATGATCCTTGGCTTGCTAGTAGGTTGGAGGCCATCGCTCTTGGGTTACCCTATTACGATCCTTGGCTCTCTTTACCATGTCTTGACCCTTTGAATGCACCCGAGAAATCTCGAAAGGGATCTTCTGAATTTGGCTTTGAAGGTCTCTCCCACGAAAAAGCCATTTTCTATAAATGAATCCGGGATGAACCAATTCTGATCGCTTCGGTGGAGTGCCTGGCACCGAGCCCTAAGAAGGCCAGATACACAGGAGAAACCATGACAACCTATGTTGTAGGTCGCATTATTAATTAGGGTAGGAACTAGATCTAGCCAGATCTAGTCAGGGTACGAACCCCAGGGTACTAACCCCTAGGTTGTGACCTCATCCTGTTTCAGGATACTCATCAAGGTGCTGACATAGCAGACGAATGATGTAAAGGAAGCTATTCAGAGACTCAGTTGACTCATCGGGTTGAAGCAGCATGGAAGGTGAACACAATCTTCAGCTCAAGAGACTTCAGATCAGACTTTACAATGATCTACAGTTACATGGACTGGATGATGTTTCATGTTTTTAAACCCCTCCTATAGAGGCCTTTCAGAGCTTTTACATCTTTGGCGTGCCCACCGCGTGCCAACCTCGCGCCTGCCTCACTGTTTGCCTGCCGGGCAGTCGTTCGATCAGGCCCCACCGGGCAGTGCTGTGAAGCTGCAGGCGGTTCGCGGCGGTTCTCATGGCCTTCGGTTGAAAAGCGCTTTTTGGACCATGCCTATCCCCACTTTTGGCAGAACCCGGTGGCGGTACGCAAAAAGGGTCCTCTCAAACCGAAGGTCGGTTGGTGAAAAGAAATTCCTTTGGGACTCGATGGAAGCAATGGATATGATAGGTCTGGTCCTGGAGGCCCTGGCGTTTGGACAAGTCGGATCGTCTCGTTTCGGTCGTTGATCTCTCTCCGGTGTCCCGAAAAGGGGGAACCCATGGGTTTGTATTACTTTTTATGTCTGCCAAACACCTTTATTCTAGAAGTTGTTCTTGGAAACATTGCAACATAAAAGCAAAAAAGAACGCAATCTCAACATGAAGCCTGAAAAACAAAAGCAATCATAAAAGCAAGCAAACAGCAAACACAATTGCCAGCAAACATTGCACCACACAGCATGTGTTTTTTCAAGCAAGAAAAGCCCCTGTCCAACAGCAAGCGTGCTGCTGTACGAAAGCAGCACGGAGCACAGAGTTGATTTGAGCTTCCTGGGTGTCGCACCTTGTACTTCCTAGGTCCTAGTAGTGTCCTTGCTCCTAGTAGCGATGCCAAGAGCCCCTGTACTTCCTTGGCACCTGTTCCTAGGTCCTAGTAGCGATGCCAGGAGCCCCTGTACTTCCTTGGCACCTGTTCCACGAAGGATGTCCTCCCAGACAAAATTACTGCTATTGCTACTGTAGCTGTGAGCGACTGGGTGACCAACTGTACACCCCTCCAAAAAAGCTCAGGGGTGGCTGACATCTACATGGTCCCTGAGGATTCTGCGCTCAGCCGGGCTTTCTGGCGCACTTTTTGGTGGCGGCACATTCTGGCTCACTTTTTGGTGGCGGCACTTTTTGGCGCACTTTTGGTCGCTGTTGTTCTTTTCCGGGGGTGCCGGGTTTCTGGCGCACTTTTGGTGGTCACTCTTTTTTTTTGCGGTGCCGAGTTTCTGGCGCACTTTTGGTCGCTTGTTTTGGCACAAAAAAGCGAACATAAAGCGCAACAAGAAGGGCAAAGCAAGAGCGAAAAGAAAGCGACTAAAAGTGCGCCAGAAACTCGGCACCAGAAAAAGAAACGACCAAAAGTGAGACGCTTGACCCGGCACCAGAAAGCCAGTTTGCTGCGCTTTGGGGAGGTCCGGCCCTCGCAAAATGTTTGAACGCGTTGAACTCCGAATCTGCAGTTAGTCTGTAGAGGCCCTTGCTAGTGACTACGTAGTGGTGCGGGCAGTAAGTAGTAGTAAGTAGCAGCAGGAGTAGTAGTGGTGGTAGGTTAGCCCTGGGAGCCCAAGACTATTTTTAAAACGGTCTTTAGGTGATCCGAAAAGGAACTTCCTTTACTTGGGTGGTGCCTAAAATAGTCTTTGGACTTCTAGGGTTAGTGGTAGTTACTTAATAGTAGCTCCGTGCTGCTGTGCGAATCGCTCCGTGCTATATTTTTCCTTTCTTGTTAACTCTTTTCTTGCACTTGGTGTTGCTTGTGCTTTTTTGATTGGCACCTTTGGTGCTTTTGTATTTGCGTTTTTCAAGCTTCCTAGTTTTAGAATAAAGCCACCTCCGGTGGACACAATATTGATCTTTAAGTGGGGACAATGGGTTTGTGGTCTTTTTCCTTCTTCCAAGAGTCGAACTCGGGGGTCTCCCTATTCTAGTACACACCTCAGTGGTATTCTATGTTCTGTTTCCGTACTTAACTTCATTTGCTTGTATGAAGTTGGTTTCTTCCTGTTTGTGTGGAAGAACGGGGTTCTCGTGCAACGTCCTCTCAAGCTGCTTGGGCTCATGCCCTCTATGAGAGTGCTCGTCCTCTCTGGGTGCTTGCGTGGCTTTGCATTGGTTGGTTGATTGGACTGCTCTCAAGACCTAGGCAGCTTTTTTAATGAACTCGATGGGCAGTCGAAGCAATGGTTTCGGGGCATGTCAAGGAATGGGATCCGCAGCGTGTCGAACAATCACAGAATAACGGTGTCCAGGCCTTGTCCTCCTCTTGTCCTCTGTGGCTGGGCTCTGTGTCCAGGCCTTGTCCTCTGTGCCTGGGCTCTGTGGCTGGGCTCTGTGTCCAGGCCTTGTCCTCCTCTTGTCCTCTGTCCAGGCCTTGTCCTCCTTTTGTCCTCTGTGGCTGGGCTCTGTGTCCAGGCCTTGTCCTCCTCTTGTCCTTTGTGGCTGGGCCTTGTCCTCCTCTTGTCCTCTTCTTGTCCTCCTCTTGTCCTTGTCTTGGCCGCGCCCCTGAACTCTGTGGCTGGGCTCTGTGGCCCGGCTGTGTCCGGGTCTTGTCCTCCTCTTGTCCTTGTCTTGCCCTGAACTCTGTTGGCTGGCCTCTGTGGCCCGGATTACTGGAGAAGAGCGTTGCCGAACAAATAGCGTTGTCAATGCCGACAAAAATTCATTGATGAGGCACTTTGCTCTTGGGGTGAAGGTAGGGCGTACCAAGAGATCGTTTTTTATTAATATTGGTCTAAGCGAATCGTTTTGAAGCTGTTTGGGGTCTATGCTGGTATGTTTTTTAAAACGGGCCAAACATGGGGCTGCCCACGGGTTGTGACCGTTCGCCTCCTCCCAGTCCACCATGTCATGACCCACGAAGCGTCGTGCCTGTTGTGGCCGACCGCTCTGCACCAGTGCTAAATTTCATAATTCAGGGTGGTAAATTTGAAAAGTTATATTTTTTGCAGGTATAGGTACTTAAGTTTGGACAAGACCGTCAGACCGTGGGAAAAGATACAAATGAGGAGCAATGATGCGTGCTGCTACCGCTACCTGTCCTTCTTGTATGTTCTTCAGAGCCCCTACCCGGAAAATATGATCCCAAATCCATTTGTTTTTTCGCTTATAAACCATGATGTATGAAATTTGGCATGCGCCAGGTTCCCGATCCATGGGAGTCCGGGCACCTCAGAGGTTCCGCGAACGGCGCGAAGAAGTGGTGCGTTCCACGGTGCGATCGGTGCGGTGGAGTGAGCGAAGTCGCAAGCACCAACTCGACCGACGGACGATGGAGCGACGTAGATGGTGCTTCCGGCCGATGATGGGCCCTGGGAGCAAAAGAGGATCAACATGGATCAACAGGATCTGATGAATGAGGGGAGACTTTCTTAATTCTTTAGGATGGTTTGATGGATGTGAAGGATTTCCGGAACTTCCTGAATCCTTCACATTTTTAGGCAAAGGTCTTGGGCGGAAGGCTTCAGGACGGACTTCGAAACGGGCGCCCTAACGACCTCCAGTTTCGAGGGAGGTCTGGTCTGGGTGGGTTTTTGTGTTGGGGTCGTCTAAGTATACTTTCGGATGTGGCGCATGGAACCACAAGAACCGAAAAGGGATCAAACGGGTATGTGTCCGACCCATTTCGGATCACCATCAAGACTGGGCCTCCCCAGGTGGTTTTCAAGCCGTCCACTTCCACCATGGTGATTTCGCCGGAGCCCGCTCCGAGGAACGCTCCCCGCACCCCCGACACGGAGCCCTTTGACATGCGAGCGCTGGATACGGCGCGGGAAGTGTCAAACCAAACTCACAATGAGGGGTGCACGATCAATAGAGGCTCCACTTTTTTTTGCAGAGCAGTTTTTTGGAGGTTGCCCCTGGAAACCCGCCAAGCAGCAAGAAATTCCATGTTGCATGAAGTGGTATCTGAAGTTGCCACCCTCTTTTTCGGGATTTGGAGCTTTCATGGGGTCGGTCGCGAGCTGAAGTTGCCACACCAAAGAGACCTGACTGTGGAGGATTGGTCTCGGTCGGATCCGGGAGGCCATCCAGGGTGGTATCCTCATGCACCAGCTGAAGCAGCGGATGTGAGGCGAACGCTGGATGTGGATTGGCAACCATCTCACGACCCGTACACATCATCATCAGAAGTGAAGAAGTGGAAAAACACCGTGTTTGTAACATGGTCTTTCCAGGAGCCATCCATTTCCATGTTCCAGGGCATTTTTGTCTCGGGAGTTGCGGCGTGACAGGGTTCTTGCCTTGACAGGGGAACGGATTGAGACCTTCTACAACCGTCAATTCTTGAGTCAAACTATTTACAGTAAACATATGTAAACATGTATATATATATATATATTAATATACACACACACTTGCCTTTTTTCAGAAGTCCTTTTGCTCCTCCTTCTTTGCTTTGAGCACCGACCATGACCAAATCCCGCTCAAAGACGAGCACTTGAACATCACCCGAAGATTCTTCGATAGGACGATCCAATTCAACCAGGTTTCGGTGCTCTCAGCGCGACTTTGCTAGAGTTTGTGCAGCCTAAAGTACTGAACATTTCAGAGTTTCCTATTTGTTAGGAATGGATTCACTATATATTGGCTATATTAGGAAATATTAGGTTTCCATGATAATTAGATTCATAATGTGATTAGCTTGGAATAAATCAGAGTCCAGGGCTTCCTCTTTCTACCAACAGGAGGAGCTTGCCGATGATCCCTTTGAACACGCTTGCCGACCTTCCGTGTGTGCGCGGAAAAAACCAGCGGGAATGGATTCATCTTGCTGAGCAGTATGGAAAGAAGTGAGTGGATTTGGAGTGCCAATCAAGTGAGTGGAGCAAGTGGGTATTGAACTGCAATCAAATAAAAGGCCTTGTGAGTGGTGAGTGCTCCGCAATCAATCACCAGTGTGTGAATCTTCGGAAGTGCCTGTGTATGTTCAATCTTCAGTGTTTTGCACCTAGTTTTCCATGGAACACGACCGTTCTTGACGTTTCGGTCAGGTTTCGAGGGCTAATGGGTGTCCGAATCATTCGTTGGATGAGTGTACTGGAAATGCGTTGATCTGGTAGCTCGTTGGTAGATACAGTTGGTAGCTCAGTCGATTGTGTCGTTGGTAGCTCATGATATTGTCAGTCAGCTGGGTCAAAAGCCTGACCCAGGACAAGTGGACCACCTGCATGTCAGCTTTTTGTTGGGGGTATTTTCAGCAACCCCACAGAGATGCCAACAGGTGGAAGTTCGGTTGACCTTTGTTATCCAAAAACACAGCTCCGGAGTCCGTTTGGGGGTTTGAGTTAAAGTCTTTTCTTCAGAAGTATGACCATTATGACCCCCGACTCCAATGCCATGTGCGTTCTCTCAGTGGTGAATGACACTCTACCACACATGCCTGCCTTTGATGCTCAGAGACAGACTGGCTCTGCATGTTGAGAGGTATCCAATATCAAATGCCTTCAGCCTATGGCAATGGCAGGAATGGCTTTCTTTGCTTCTTGTTGGACCGCAGAAGAATTCAACAAGTCTACAGCAACATGCAGTCTACATGCAGCCTGCACGACGAGCGGCTTGGGTTGAGTGCAGGTTGTGATTCGATCCTTCCACAGACCTCCATAGACCGCTCGCGCCAAGTCAAACGGCTGCGAGCGGTGTGACAGCGAGTCTTGCCAAGGCTCGGGGCCGGTCCACATGGAACATGGAACTCTCCAGTCCCGGTCCCACTTATGGATCTCAGTCGTGCCGATGTTGGATGAACCAGAACTGTTTCTGCGGACTGGGGAAACCCAGGAGTAGATAGACACATGATGACAAATGAATCACCCCCCTAAACCAATTAATACATGTTTATACATCTTTCACTATGCGGGGGTTGGGGGCCGGCTACGGATGTAATGCCGGCTTTGAATCATTCGTCCGGAAGGGGTGACTCATTCGGAACTCCTTCGTCGTAGAGGATCACAGATCACGTCAAATTGTTTTTGATGTCCCTACAAGTCCAGTCTGACGGTCCAAGCCTGGTCTTTTACTTCCTTAAGTATCGGCTTTGTATGACCAGCTCCAGTATTTCATCAGGTCTTTGACTTGAGAAGTTGTGACTCTTGTGACTCTACTTTGACCAGCTCGGGTATGTTGTGACTCTTGTGACCTGCTTTTTAGGACATCAACCCTCCCTCTCCACGTCCGGCATCCTGTGGAGAACCACGCCCAAGACGAGAACACGCATCGTGCCACGCTTCGGAGAGACGAGGGCATCCGCTGTGTTTCACGGGGTGAACTGAAGACCATGTGGCTGTGGGTCACGCGGTGGGTCACGAGGTGGAAGTGGCACCCACCCTGGGTGGAATCCCCCACCCTGGCGAATGAACAGGTCAACCTACCCGGGGTCCGGGTGAACTTGGTGACCCCGAAGTCCGGGTGCCATGACCCGCCATGTGATGTGTTCGTGAGACTGATGTACCGGAGCTCAGCTCCATCAGCTGGTTCACATGGAACATCAGGACCACTTACACTCCGAGGACCACATCACATGGTTTTGGGGAATTCACCGTTCAACAATGGTGTTTGGTATTTGGAGAACTGGGTCCTCCGAAATGGGTGCCTTTTGTGCGTTCTCCACGTTGGCCCATGAACAGTTTCAGGGAGTGTAGCTGCAGTGTGGCTCTTGATGTTCATGACTCACCTTGTCCAGACCTTGTCCTGCCATGTCTCGCCATGTCTCGCTGCGGGACGTGACGAAGTGTCTCGGTCCGAGGACGTGACCCCTATTTGGTCCCGAAAACATGCACCCCCTTCTGGGGATCATCACTAGCACATGTACAGCATCACTAGCTCCATGGGAGGTTGGAGGGGCTCCGACCGGGTCTTTTTTTCGTTTGGATCGTCTCGGGTTTTGGCCAGGCGCCATGGCAAAGGCCTACTTCGCGGTGTTTGCTTCGGTGTGTGGCAGAGGGTTGCACCTAAGAGCGATGGCCTCCAACCTAATAGAAGCAACATGCATAAAGCTTTTTACTTTCCAGGGATTGAAACGTAATCTTTTCCACTGACCTGGTAGTATCAAGAAATCAACTAGCCCTGCTTGCTAAGCCGCAAAGAACTTGTAACTATAAAATTTAGTTCAAGAGCTCACTAGGTGGGAATGATATTATATATATATAGTTCAAGAGCAAGTCCAAGCAGTTTGAATGCTACAAAACTTCTAGTTCGGAAGGGTTTTTGTCAGAGTGCTGATGCGAATCGAAAGGCTAGGTGTTGTTGTATTTGTGGATGGGCTTCAAACGGGTATAGCCGGTCAAGCGTCAAGCAGCAGTATGAAGCAATTACCCGGTTATTTCAGTATGAAGCAAGGTGAATGGATCAAACATGATCAAACTGACTTGAACTGTCATCCAGAAGATGGGATATGAATGCCAGTCCTTGAACTTCTTTCATATTCTATTCATATGATGAAGTGTGTGTTTGTGTGTGTTTTTGTGGACACTTGCTTCCGAACTGCTTCTGGCTTTGCTTTGACCCGCACCGCCTCGTGCTTTTGACCTTCCCTCCGCTCCTGAGGTCTCCAAAAGGTCCGGCTCGGCTGCTCCTCTTCGGTCGGCGGGTTCTCGCCTCGTTTCCGTCGCGGAGAGTTTCCGTCGCCCAGGGCGACTATGAGACTCGGCACTTGGACGAGAACCATCCCTTCGATGGCCGCAAACTGAGACACGATCAGATCAGTTGATGGTGTCGTTTCAGTATCTCGAAGAGATCATAGCTGAAGTCGAGGTTTTTTTCGAGTTTACTGGGTTTCAAGAAAACCCGTGAGCCAGAGTGTAGGCCACCCAATGAAAAGGATATACTTCAAGGTACCCCAGAATCGACCGCATAGGAAGGTGCGGTGGAAGATGGCCTGGCGCATGGCGACACGCATTTGGGTTCTCTCTGATCTACCCAGAGGCGACCCGTTCGGCCCGGCCTCCTATGCAGGGGTCGGACCCGAATCCCTTGGGGTCTTCGGGGTCTGGACCCGAACCAATCCCTATCGTTTTGAGGGACCAGTCGGGCTGTGAACGGAGCGTCTGGGTAACATCAATCTTTCAGGTCGTTGCCAGGGCTGCCTGGCCCTGGCAAATGAGGTGTTCTTTCCTTCTGCCAAGGGTCGGAACGGGCTGCCGGCGCGAACCGATGGATCATCCGTCTGCCCAGACGCGAACCGAGACCGAACCCGATTCCGAACGCGTCGTATGGGACCTGTCTTCACATGTTTTCACGGAGTGTCTGGGTGAATCTGCTGATCTTTCAGACCTCGCCCGCGCACCCGAGCCGCACGCCCGCGGCCGGAGACACCGACACCCGCGCGCGTTCGCCGGGAGCCGGGCCCGCAAGGTTCCGGCATGGCGACACGGACCTGCACCGATCTGCCACTTGGGCCCAACCGCGGGTTGACCACCGGAGACGTTCCGAACTCGAGTTCCGAACCTGGAGTTCGTTCCAGGTGGTAACAACGGAGCCGTTTGGAAGAAAGGAAGAAAGCCCGGGTCATGAACAAGTCATGGCGGATTCTTGGGGGACCTGACCTTCGCCTTACTTGCGAGATAGAGAGGCATGGACCGATGAGAGGAATGGACCGTGCTGGCAACAGGTGAGCTCAGGAACCACACCTTGGAAACTCTAGAAACTGTGATCAGCCCATTCTTCTCATCACCCAGCATATCCGAAAGTCAAGTTCTGGGCGCAAAGGTGGCTTGCGGTCACCTAGAACCTTCACTTTCAGGGTGCCTAGCTAGTGATATCTATTGGTCTATAGTGATTGCTGACTTCAAACAAACACGAAAATACCCTAGACTCTACACCTGTCAGCACATCGGACAAATGAGGAACACTTAGAACTCCGTCACGGCGACCAGTTGAACATATCATTCCGAATCACACGTGACCTGATAAGGAGTCGTGCCTCTCGGGTCTCTCTTCTCTCTGCCTCGGTTGATCCAGATAACTCCCACTTTTGATCAAGCCGTCCATGTGGACATTTCGTGCAGTCGGCTTTCCACCGACTAATCGTCTCTTGTGTCAAAGGGCGGGCCCTCCTGCCCTCCTGCCCTCCTCGATCCTCCGCTTCCAGGCCATGCCTGGTGGTCTTCATCTTCTACATGATCGCGATGTGTCGCTCGCTCGGAATTCTCCGTTCGTGGTTGGATCGGGAGTTTGGGAGGTTTGGGACGGAGCAAGGAGCGGGAACCATCGGTTGGATCGGGACCACCCAGAGGATGACGAGCTCTTTCAGAGGGCGGCACCGGGCACTGCGAAGAGGGCGAAGAGGCTGATGTGAGGTGGACTCCGCTTGGATGTCTTTCCCCTGGAAGTCAAAGACATTCAAAGACCATTCTAAAAGTGGTTGATCTGGTTTTGTAGTGTAAAACCCTTAGTAAAACAATGGTGGTTTGGTAAAGGCCATTAAAACAATGGTGGTTCGACTGCTAGGGTTTCCGCTTGAACCTGCGTGCGCTAGATCCATCTATAGATCCATGTAGATCCGGTGTAGACCTCGGAAGGTTATGTCCTGATGTCACGAAAGGTAGCGGTTACGCGATCTGAGTTGTCCTTTTGCTGAGGATTCAAAATTGCGAAAAAAAACTACGGTATTTATGCGGTTTTGTGCGCCTTCCCGGCACAAAACCCTGTAAATATCGATGGTTTTAAGCTATTATAACTATGTAGGCTCCAAAGTGGCCACAAACTTGGCTGATCCAAGCACACAAGTTCGTCTCTCCCATACAACCTCAACTCCTTTTTTCACGGCGTACGATTGAAGGTTTGCAGTGTGGCATTTTGCCATTTCATCCATTACGAGATATAGGACCTCACCTTCCTGGTCCTAGCCAGAACAGGATTCAGATCACCCAGACGCGA